TAGGTGTGGAGTTTTGGGTGTTAACTGGGATTAGTGTTAACATGAGAATGTGTTTTGTAAGTGGAGATCAGATTGGTTTGCCTGTTGCTAAGGATGTTGGGACATAGTGTTGCTGGCATGCTTACTGGTCCAGGGTGTTGGTGTACAACTGGCACACTGGAATGTTATGACTGTTATGATAAATATCTGTGGTGACAGTGACTTTGAGACTTAGTCGATTGAGGTCTCCTGATCATTTTTCTTTGCCGCTGCACAGTGGCTCTGACCTATTTAGAAATATAAAGTTTTTCTTTCTTTAACCTAGGAGACAGAGCTGTCTGGCAAATAATTGGCTTATAAAGATCAGAGTGTTGTTTTGTTGGGCTCTAATTTGATTCTACTGTCTAATGTTCAAGGAAGGTTTTTTTCTGTAATACTAAAACAGAATTGAGGGGGATAAAATCTTGAAGAGGATAAGACTACTGTTTGGTTTGAGAAATATGTTTTTATCATAAGACTTCTTCATAGATGGGTAGACAATGGCTTTTTGGGGCAAATTAGGAAAGCTGGTGTGAATTTATAGACATTTTTCTATAACATTCATGTTAAACCTCTGAAATGGATGATAGTTTTCCTTTCTTCCTCACATTTTTCTTTCTCTCTTTCTAATCTGAAATGATTACATTTAATCTGAAGTAGCTATTTAAACCTGCATTTACTCATTTTGTGGCCACTTGAGGGCAGCAGAAACAGGCTGTAAACACAAAACTGACATATTATAACCTTCTATTTGCACATCTAACCAACATGGGGGATACATACTGATGAATTTCTAAACTTCAAGGGTGATATTGATGAATGACGAAAATAATGCCCAAATATCGAGGCTAGTTTTTCAAGTTGAGGCTTTTTCTTCAACTTGAAGCACTTTTAACCTTAAGCCTCACATAAATTACTGTAATGTCATATGACAACACCTGTCTTAGTTATCTAATATTAGAAAGAAAGAAAGTTACATGTGCCATATCATGGTCCAAGATAAATGCTCCCATTTACCCTCTTTCCACAGCTCTAGTCTTCTGAAGCCTACTGAATGTAATATCTTTCACAGTGCTTGTATATATAATGTTGTACATATGCTCAATGTGACTTGTGACTTTATTCCAAATTAACTTTCCTGTATAACGCGTAAAAAACCATAACCTTAAATGTACAAGCTTTAGTGTGGTTTGCAGATGTCTACATGTGTGGAATGAGACAGATAACACTGCAAAAAAGAACTGTAAATACATTGCGCATCATTAGTTATTCCACAGTCCATGTAAATTGTACTATTATTTCCACTTGCCAAGTCTCTGTTTATTGTATGTTACCTATTTAACCATTGTTTAGACTAATGGAATAATACTGGGACCATTCAGTAGTTAGGGTAGTGTAGGTGTTAGGGTCTTTGGTTAGTCCAAGGATTTTTATAGGTTGTAAATATTACTATATAAAACATATTCATTTTGTCATAGGTCAAAGATCAAGGTCACTGCGACTTTGAACATGATATCTCAAGAACACCTTGAGAGAATTTCTTTAAATTTGGCACAAACATTCACTTGGACTGAACGATGAACCGATCAGATTTCCTAGGTCAAAGGTCAAGGTTACTGTGATCTTGCATCTGTCTCCTTCTCATGAACACAATATCTCCAAAATTCAAAATTCGAAAAAAATTTCAAACATTTACATGGACTAAAGAATAAACTGATCAGAATTTGGTGGTTGACGGTCAAAGGTCAAGGTCAGTGTAACTTCACAAAACATGTTTTTGGCCTTAACTCAAGAGTTCTTTTACTAATTATGACAAAACTTCACACAAATATCTAATAGGATAAAATGATGAAGTGATGGCATTTCATATCCAAAGGGTCAAAGGTCAACTTCACTGTGACATCATAATGTTCTGCAAAAACAGTTTTCTGGCCACTGCTCAACATCATAACCCTAATCTTGGGTGCCCATGTTGAAACTGTGCTGATTGTATGGAATGATTGTATAGTACTGCGCAGTGGACGTTAATTCTAGTTTTGTGAATGAACTGAAACTGACTGACCGCCTTAAGCAACATCAGCATTAATTAGCAGTCGTTTTTCAATTCATCTGATGAATTTAAGTCCAATTGTCACTATCTTTTTAGATCTGTTTGTCTCTCCACTTTCTCCTGAGGGAATTATCAGGCTATTTTGTACCTAATGCTCCACTTCTCTCATCAACGAGTTGCTAACAGCTGCCCGCTGTTAAGTGCTGGGTAGGTAGTATACAGTGAGCCTATTACAGTTTTTTTTCTTGGAAGAGCTGCTTACAGATGAGAGTGGTGAGACTGAACCAAAACAGGAAAGTTGCAGGTCATAATACTTAAACAGTGAGATGAATGGCACTAATGTTACCTGCATACAAATCCTACACGAGACACAGTACATCTTGTGCTGGTGATGATGATAGGTGCGTCCCTCAGACATGTTTGAGGAGCACAGGTTGGTCTTACAGGAAGCACGTTATGACTGGTTTGCTGGCAGATACATTTAAAGGCAAGAGGAACTAGTTGTGCTGTTATTGTGTTTTAGTTTAACACCTAATATTATAAGATTCGGTAAACCACACATTTAAAAAAGAATAACACTAAACTGCTAATTTACTTTTGACGACAGGTGGCTTCTTGCTTGTCTCCCAAGAAAATTTCGTAATATATATTTGAGGGTTGTTTTCAGTATAAAGGTTAAACAGGAAGAATGCCATGTGCCTGTATGTATATGTGTCCGTCAAAGTGCTTAAATTCAAGACCACTACAGTATAAACGAGGCCCGGCTGTGGTGCTGCCACCGTAGTTCCTGTTGCTGTCTTTTTTAAACTCTGTTTTTATTGTTGGATTCCAGGGTAAACCTTTGCTTTGCCAGTCTCTGCTATTGAAATGCTGTGGTATACCTCACGTCATATGCATTTTTGTCAGTCTCAGTGTACCTGGAAGACAGAACTTGTGGTCTTTGCCTCAGTTGTTTTGGAAGGGGCAAAACTCCTTTTTTAGCAAGTCGAATCACTTCTCTCTGTGACTAATTGGTATAACATGCTGACAGAATTTGTCACGGTCTCTTTTAGTGATGACGTTGATGGCGAATTTACCTTCTTTTAGCAAACCATTGCTATGTTTTTGAAGTTCATATACATTTCGAAAGCATCAAAATAGTGTAGAAAAGCATTTGTTAGTCTCTCAGTGGTCTTCCTCCATCAGTGTCCTCGCCCCAGAGCCCTGGACACTGTGGGCAGACTGCTCTGTTTATGTCAGAGGTCTGTATATCTGATTGTAATTGATGACATTTCAGGATCTCATGACTGAATTGGATTATCAGCGATGTCTTTGGCTGCATCATCTCAACAGCCAGCAGCTGCAGTCAACAGCCAAGCTCATAATCAGAGTGAAATGTCCTGGTTTTTCTAAATCTGGTTAGCAAGGTTAGCGGCTGATTTATTCCACATTCCATGCTGAGCACATGGCGGGTTGATGTGTCAATATTGACAGTCTCGTGTCCTGGATAGCACCGTATTTACTTAGTTTATTTGCTGAAAAACAGGCTTGGAGCGGAGGATATATTTCTCTCAGTGTCTCTGGTGAAGTTTGAATTGTATTTTCTATTTCTTAGGGAAAACCCTCTTTCATACACTTTTGTCTTTTTAAATTTATCTGTGATACCCAACAAAGTCTGTGAGCTTGTGATTAGTGTTTGCTTTTTTTTTAAGGATGGGGCAGCCGTGAGCACTTCCTCATTTCTCAAGGTCAAAAACAGGCCTACAGCTAAAGGTGCTTTCTTTATTTTCATGTGTTTGTGTTCAGTTCAGTTCCTAAAGCCCTATTGGCATTGAACTACCAGGGGACCTCATGTGATTTAGTAATGAGCCCCCCCAAATCTTAGTCAGCCTGTATTTCACTCAAATTGACTGACCTTATCCCCTGAATATGATGTAAAGCAACAGCAATGCCTGCAACAAAAACGTTAGCTATTTCAGAGGTGCTAATTGAGTTAGCAGTAGATGCACACTTCCTTCTGCGCATTGATGCGGTTGGTGGGTGAAGTTTTGTAGAAAGAAAATAGTTCCTACATGAAACTGCTCACAACAAGGTCTGTGGATTATCTTGAGTGCCTAGGTCATGATTTCTGGAAAGAGACATTCATGCACCACAAGCCGAGTGCCATCTAGTTCCATTATATTGGAGAGTAGGCAGACACCTCTACGGCTAATATCTCTAACACTCTGCAACTCAGTTTAAGGGGTGAACTGTCCCTTTAAACCAGTCTCCTGGCAAACAGTCAATGCACAGTTATTCTGAACGTCTAATTTAAATTAGCACTTTACAAATTTCTGCAGGCGCTGCAGACATTAATTAAGACAGTGGCATTTTAAAGTCATTACATTGATATTTAGGGTCTATATGTATCTACAGATATACAGTATAAAATTCATCAGAAAACCAACTGCAAACTATATACTCTTTTATTTGTTTATTATATGCTGGTAAATATTGCTTGAGTCAAACCAGTCAGTAACACCACACTGCAGCTCATTTCTTTTTCTTCATTTCATTCCTTTTACTTTATGTCCTCTTAATTCATTTAAATTGTTAAATTTTGATGTGATTATCAATATGGGTTACAGATTCTTATCTATCATGCCTCCTCTCCTGTCCCTATCTTGGCTCACAGTGCAACAGCATAACTTGTAATTGCACTATTTATTAGGAGACGTTAATGCATTTATAGCTGCTGTTACATTCATGTATGTTCCCCGGACGCAGGAATCCCAATCTGATTTGAGTACTTTTGGACAGGTAAATATGGAATTTGAATCAGTGGAGTCTGTAATCTGATCTTCTAATGTACTGTTGATGGTTCCTAATTTGACATGATTTACAGCAGCACTATCTGTTGAGTCCATTGCATCATATAGTGTAACATGTTTGTGTTTTTTTCTGTCTTTTTCAGGGTCTTATTAAAATCAGAGGCGACAAATGCTGGAGAGACCTCACCTGCATGGACTACCACTACGAGGTGTGTGACAGAATGTTAGTGTAGTTGATATACTGTTTGTGTGTCATGTTTCCCTGCAGAGTGTGTCATGCTATTGAGTTAGCCTGTTGCAGGACATGGAGCGGATGATCATTCTCTGCAGCTATAAATTGATTAAACTGACAAACCTTGTCATCAGCCGCTGAGCTTTGCTTTCTGTCTTCCATGATATTTGGGGGATTTCTTTCTTTTTCAAGCTTTCATGAAGTCAGCTCAGGTTTCAGAGAGATGAGAAGCCAGATGCAACAAGGAAAAGTTATCAAACAGTCCAGTATTTACCTCTACATTCCCTGCTTTCCACTGAAAAGAAAGCCAAATTACATGCAGGCTGTGGCTTTTGATTGTTTTCACTGATTATTTTATAGAATTATTGTTTTTCTATAAAAGTAAACTGATCTATGCACATTCTAGTTTTTTAGAGACATGTTCTTTGTTTTCTCTAGTGAACTATCCATAACCCAAAGATTTTCGATGTACTCCTAGAAAAGGGCATTTAGTAGAGTGCAGATCTCCACCAGAGCTGATTGCAGCCACTCTTGACAGTGCATGCGACCCAACTGCACTAAGGTTATTAAATTAAAGCCATAACATAGTCCCTGACCCCATGAATGCTATAGAGAGTGACACGCACAATGTAACTGGAGCAGGATGTTGTGGGGTTTCAACAGACAGCGCTGGGAATAAAGAGATGGTGTCTGCTCAGGTGTTCTTTGGGTGCGCTCTTTGTAACCTTCTTCTTGGGTGCACTCGGCCTGACAGAACTTTTTGGGTATGCTCAAATGGATGGCAGCTGATATACAATATAGTACTTTCAAATAGAAAGCATTTGTTTATGATCTATTATTTAAAGCCTCTGGAAACCCAAATCCACAATAGCCTTCTAACTATGTAATTTAGGGTCTTATGTACATAATATTAAACATGTAAAACAATTAGAAATCAGTTTCCATCCAAATTCGAAATATCTGTCTTTTAAGTTTTTGTACATTCTTGAAATTGGGTTTGATTTGGCCGTGGTTATCTCTGAGATTTATTACGCAATAAATTCCAAACCAATCATAAATCATCAGTCAGTTGTCTCATCCCGCCCCCTAGTGGCAGCGCAACAAAACCTTTCTGCTCCAGCTAGATCTCTTTGAGTCTGAGCCAACTCGCTTGCCCCCCTGGCCCGGTGCCGGTGTCGGCTCGCGGGGAGGTCATGTGCACCCTTCCTCACCCCTAACCCCAACCCCAAGCAGTTAGCTTTGCTATGCATAAACATATCCCCAGTCGCGGAGGTGATGCTGCGGGAAACAACACAGTTTTAGCCGGAGGGGAACATTATTCGAGGCGGGCAAATACTTCTACACAATGCCAGAGAGACGGCCGGCCGGCACCGGTCTCTCCTGCTTTGACGGTCGGTGTGTGTGTCAGAGTAAAGACATATTTAATCTATTAAGACTGGATGTGTTTGAATGAAAAAGGCTATTATCAGAAGAACGGAGCAGATTTATGTTTTCAATGAAAACGTATCTCAATGAAGAAAGGCAAAGCGCTAGCCTCCCGTTGTCATTCATATCAGCTAACAGCCGGGCTCCACCGGGCACGTCTGCAGCGCGAGTCCCGTAGCAGCTCGCCCCTGTTAATCAATTACAGCGGCTCCACCGGCAACGGGAGCGGCACGACAACTCTCTATTTTACGCCGCTCTTCTATTGTTTATCCATGACACTGTGTCCGTGGCGGACATTTGAAAGCGAGTAGATGACAAACAGTACAGTAAACTTGTAGATAACTCAAATATATGTAATAACTTAGGTGGAAAATGCTTTAACATTTCATGCAGCCTACATGCAGCCTCTCGGCTCAGCAAACGGTAAACAACCCCGCTGGCTTCTCTACGTGTCGCTTCCGTACGCAGTCAGTGGAGCCCAAATGAATACGCCGCAATGCTACGCTGTATGTTTGCAGCCGGTGGAGCCCGGCCGTAACATTGCATGTAAAATTTATGCTAACTATTCTACGAAGTAACAATATGAATCACGAAACATTTTGAAACTTACCATTCAGTGACCACCTGAAAGGAATCATTTTCAGCTTCTGCTTCGTCCTCTGAATCATTAGAGGGCTCAAACATGTACGGCTGGATTAAATTTGTGGCAGCCATTGCTGAGCCAGGGAGATGTCAATCAAAACAAGGGAGCTGTCAATCAGAGTGTTATCTGCCACGCCCCCTCTGTCCTGGCAAGTGGTCTAAACAGCAAAATGATGACTCAGACTTTTGTGGATGATTAATGAGACACTCGACTTTGATATAATATATGCATTTTTACTATTTCAAGCTGTGTTTCCACAGGCTTTAAGATCTTCTTTTCAGAATTTTACAAAATACATTCCGAGCGAAGGCTGACTTCCAATGTCTCAGTGAAAAGAGGTCATACCCATGTTCTTTGATAGTGCTCCAGCTATTGATCCTTTCAGCAAGTGCAGACCAGACTGTACATTTGTTGTACCCCAATGATATGATGCAATATGACACAGTGTCCCAGTCTTCATTAGTATCCTTGAACTACAACTGGTGGAATTGTCGCCTCCGGCTTTCTTACAGTCAAGATGGCGTTGCAGCGGGGAGTAATCAATCTTGTATTGTGCCTGAGCATATTAGGCATGAGATTAATCTGCAGTTGCTCTGGTTCAAAATGAGACTCAACTTTTCTATGAATGCCAGTTTCAGCCCAAAATGTGCCCTGCAATGGTCAGGCTTCTTTTTTTTTTTTAGCCTATCCAATTGCGGGAACTGCCTTTTGCCCTGTTCTTTTGCTAGTTGATTTTGTTGATCACTTGCAGTTCCCAACCAGCCAGCTGAGAAGAGTAAAAAGTCAGCAGTCAATGACGGAATAAAAAGGTCAATCAAACAGTTTTTTTTAAACGATTGTGAATCACTGAAACCATAAGAGGCCGTTGAGCACATATATGTGCACAAAAAATATTAGGCTGCTTGGTCTAGTAATATGTGAGATTAGCGTACACTTGATGGAGATAGTAATGACAAGAAAATCAGAAATCCTCACATTGGAGAAGCTGGAGTTTTCCTACTTTGTTCACTAGCTAGGCTGTAAATTAGCAATTCGCTAAAATTAGCTAAATTTTGCCTGAAAACAGCTGCCTGTTGCTGCTGGAAATGACACTGATGAAAGCACTGAGACTCAACCATAACAGTGACGTTTTTGACTGTAAAACTAAAACAAGGAGCTAAAAGATGCTAAAATAGAACTGCTGAGTCATGTCATCATATACAATTATTAATTAGAGCAGCTTCAAGATTTACTTAGTTCATGAGAGCTTTTATGGTTCCTTCCTGTGCTGACCACTTGATACTTGGTTGTTCTTTCATGGGAAAAATCTGCAATATATGCAATACATGCATTTGATGTTTGTAGCTGCAGCAATAGTGAAAGAGAACAGGGTGGTTATCATGAGTGACAAAGAAAGTAGGAGAAACTCAGATTTTCTCATCGTAAAATCCCAAGGCTGTTTGTTGACTTCTGGGAAGTGCGGTGTAGAAAACACCGCACAGCAATGAGCCCTGAGCACCAAAGATATCATGAAAGCTCTTAAATTACCAGTTAAGATGGCACTTGTTGCCTTGCCGTCTTATTTTGAATCATTCTTGTGGGAAGATGGCCAGTATAACTTTCTAAATTTCCCAAAGGCCCGTTTTCTTTGACATTCTGAACGTCTTAACAGCAGTCCAGATATACAAAAAGATTGTGCCATGGCTGTGTCTCCTGAATGATGACAAGACAGCAATGTACTCACATGAGGCTAACCACACCAGGGCAACACATTACAGTAACCGCTGTCGTGGGTTTCAATAAATCAGCCTCTTATGCGGATCGTGGGGTTGTGTTTGTTTTTCCCCTGTGGGACGCTCAACCGCTCTGACCCACACTGCTCTGTGTTACCAAGCCGCAGAGGGAGGAGGGCTGTCTTCTGTAATTAACACAGACAGGAATACACTGGCTCCTAAGGGACTGGATGACTGGAGATGACACTCAAATGCATATCAAGAATACAATATAGATACTCACACAGTCTGAAATACAATGGGAATAGAGGATAGACTGTTACACAATGGCTCCTGTGGGACAGGATAACTGTTGCAGAAACTATGTAGCCATGGATGACTAAAGGAAGGGAATCAGGAATGATGTACCTCATATATGAACTGTCACACTTTCTGCCTTTTCATTTAGTTTTGGAAAAATGTTTTGGTTTACTGGTATACTACAATGTAAATCTACTATAATTTATCCCCCAATGTTTAGTTCCCAGGGTTAGACCAGTTTTAGCATTGCTAATGCCATGGAAATCACTAAGCCAGTGGTTGTCCACCCGGGGAGTTGGAAAATGATATATGACATAGGATATTTTATCCACTACCCTAATTTATTTGCTCTGTTGTTTGGAAAATATTAAACAGTCTCTGTTGTCTCTGATAATTAATCAAATGAAACAGGCTGAACAGGGGAAATCATTCCTTTGGTTGAACTACTCTGTATATGTAGATACATGTAGAGTTGTCCACAACAATCGTTACAATAACTTTTGCTAACAGCACTAGCATTGATGACAAATCGTAATTTCCTCATCACTGCCAAGTATAGTCTATTTAATGTATGCGATTAAAAGTGATGCAAAAGTAATGCATGCATTTCAGAGCGATGATGCTAGCATGTTAATATATAGTAGGTACAATGTTTGCCATGTCAATTTAGCATGTTAGCATTAGGGCTGTAAATCACAAGTTTCATCATGATACATTACATAAATTCTTTGGAGAATGATACAATATCTGCTGATACCACAAATTCTAGTGAAATCAAAAAATGTCCTCACTGTCTTCTTCTTGGCTGCTTGTCATTGTCTGCCTGGCACTAGGCAGTAGCACCGTTTGATTGTTAAGGAAGGAGGTGTTCTTGGTCAAAAGTGGTGACACAGATGTGCCATGGGAATTTCAAAACAAAGGTGGATCTTAAAAATGATGGAATGTATCAACGTTTTTAACTTTGCAATCAATAATATCAATAATATTGGATCATTGATCACTGAATCGATACATCTGTCCAGATGTATGTATTGTTATCCCCTTAAATAGCAAGCCAACATTTACTAATTGGCTATAAACAGAAAGTACAGCTGAAGTTGATGGGAATAACATTAGTTTTGCAGAAATTTTGTCATAAACCAAATTATTGGACCAACAGAAATTTGATGATGGTGCTAGATAAAAGGTCAGGGGATCTCAAAATTTACAATTCCCCCCTTACTCATTTCATGGCAATCCAGCCATTAGTTGTTGAGCTATGTCAATAAAAAAGTCAACCTTATGGTGGTTCTTGAAGAAAAGTCAGGGGAACACCACACTCAATATATCACATCAATATATATATATATATATACATAAGTTGGTGCCAATCCATCAAGTAGAAGTTGAGGTATTTCAGAGGGCCACCAAAGTCATTACAAGTTATCCTCAGTTAAGCTTGAACATCTGTAAAAAATTTAATGCAACCCACCCTGGAGCTGTTGAGACATTCAATTAAAAAACAAAAATGTCAACCTCATGGTGGCCCGAGAAAACAAGCAATAGCATCAAAAGAGTCAGTTGGATTCATCCTCTGAGGACTCTGAATGTCTGAGGACATTAAAACTCCTCTCTGAAACCAGGCTAAGTGACTATAATTCTTTGGGGCAGAGTGACCCTCTATAATTATGCAGTGGTGAAGGAAACTCTGGGGTACATGGAGCCTTTCAGTGACAATTTACACACAAAAAAAAGTAACAGAAATTCACTGATTCCAAATTTCCAGTGGCTAAAAGGAACCAGTGACCTAATTATATTGTCGATATTATTCATATTTTAAATGGAGAGCAGGAGAAGCAGTAGTTAAACAAAAATGCAGGAAAATGTTGATGGGGGCAGCGTGTGTACTTGATGAACTTTAACGAGGAGAATCATGTGTAACATCAAAAAATGTAAGCCAGATATTTTTACATGTAAATCAGCATGGTATGGCTTCCAATGTACCCCACTGTGATATATATATCTGTGTCTCGTGACGGCCTTCTTTATACTTGTGTGTGTGCACTTCATGGTTTAAATTGATTCTTTTTATGCTGTTCATTATTTTGTCCTTGTGCATTCCTGTTCTATTTTTAATCCTGCTATATGTCAGTGGGTGTGTCTATAGGGTTTCGTGTGGACAACATAGGAAACATTGCTAAAATACAGTCAGTAGATATAGCAGCATTAACATGTCCACCTGACAGTTGTCAAATAATCAATGATGCAATGCTTTTGCAAACAGATATTATTCTCCTTTACTCATGTTAATATTTACTCTAAATTTTAGCTGATGCCATTATCCTTGAATTGCCATGTGTAGCCACAGTGGCTAACAAAAGCTATTTGATCTTGCTTCTAAAGAACTCTGAATCCAACTCTGTAATGGAAAGCCCTGAGAGGCAAGGGAGAAAAGAAAAGATTTTAGCAGATCCATTTTATAAGTCTGATCTAAATTGTTTTATCTCCTGTTTGTATGAGGTGAAAAAAGGTTTTGTCAGGATAATCTTTCTAAGTTCCTCATTTTTTTCATCCATGAATTAGGTCATCTTAGAAAAATTATCCTAGCAAATCTTTTTTTTTTCTAACCTGTCAAAACTTTTTTAAAATGCCAGCAATAGCCGTGGCCTACATGCATTATGTATTGGGGTTGTCCGTCCTTCGTCCGATCATCCCTCCCATTCTGAGGAATGCCTTGAGGGCACAAACGTCCACTTAGACTCAGCAATGATCTGAATGAACTGATAAGATTTTGGTGGTCAAAAGTCAAAGGTCAGTCTGACCTAATCTCTTTCATTCTTGTGTAAGTTACATCTCAAGAAGTGAATGTCTTCGAATTTGGCACAAACGTCCTCAGTAATGAACGGATTTGATTTTGGTGGTCAGAGGTCACTGTGACTCTGTCCGTCTCGAAACCAATATCTCAATAAGGCCTTGAGGGAAATTCCTCAAATTTGGCACAAACATCCACTTAGATTCAAGGATGAATGGGTTATAATTTGGTGGTCAAAGGGCAAGGTCAGTGTGACCTGACAAAACATGGTTTTTCCTCAACTCAAGAATTCATGTATTTAAATGACCAAATTTCACACAAATGTGATAAAATGATGACATTTTATATCCGAAAGGTCAAAGGTCAACTTTACTGTGACATCATAATGTTTCACAAAAACACTTTTTTGGCCCTTGTTCAGTGCCATAACCCAGAAACAGAAGGAGAGACATTTGGTTGAATTTTTCTTTCTCACTTGCTTCTTAGGGGTTCTGTACATATGTACTGGGGCTGTTTAAAATGTAATTACATGTACTGGATCAGAAAACATGTTGTTACCTGACAAATGATATATCAACTTGGACCTTATTTCATCTTGGGTCAGTTTCCCTGCTTTTACCTCAACTGTCACTGGCCTTAGAGGTAATGCAGATTCACACAGACACACACACACACACACACACACACACACACATATACGCAGTACACCGGAAGCCACTGGCGCCAGGTGAAGCCTTATTAACCCCCTCTGACACACTGCTCTCTTTCAAACCTGCAGAGAAACTGCAGATCCCCTCCTGTCCTGACTCCCAGGGGACGGTGTAGGTGTGTTTCAGTATAGTTGCTGTTTTGTTTGCTCCGGTTAGTTTCTTGTAATGCAGCTAGCTTGCAGGCCAGGTGGGGTTGTTTGGTTGTCTGAGGTTGCAGGCTCCTTGCCCTCGGATTTCCAGGGGTGTTTTGGTAAGCTACAGGTTAAATAACCTTTCTTTTTTTTGCTTCCATTCCATAAAAACAATAAGAGTATAGACTAGTGTGCCAGTGTCTTGTTTTCTTTTCCCCCCACCTATTTCTGTGCTGTGTTTATTTTTCACCACCTCACCTGACACTATTTGCATGTTCACCTATTACACGGTTTGCATGTGACCACATCTCACACACACAATTAATCATATATATGCAAACACTGCACAGCTCTGTAATGTATGAGTGTTTTTCTTTCTTTTTTTTATGTGTAGGTGGTGTTGCCTTCATTTAAATGAAGTTCCACCTTTATTTAGACATGGAAATGTTTCCCCCAAGGCGTGGCACCATAAATTACTCTCCATCCCCGGCTCAGACAAGGTTTTGGTGTCAAAGTAAAGCAGAGAAAACATGCATTTTAAGCAGTAGAAGAAGTCTATGTTTAGCATAGTAGCAAATATTAAAGGAATACTTCACCCCTTAAATGACCATTTGTATATCAATTACTCAGCTTGTGTTAAGTTGAATTAGTGAAGAAAACTCTGTTATTCTCGCATGCCCTCAGAATGAATGAAGAATCCAAAAACTGAGTAAAGTCTTGACAGCGAAACTATATGAAAACATCCTTTTACAAACTCCCACACAACTCGTGCAGTACAATTCAGTTCTTCGTCATCCAACTGAATGCTGAGTACTACCCAAACAGACAGCCTTTTCTGACAGGGAACTAATTTCACCTTGCTGAACATGGCAGTTGCTGATCTACCACTGCCTCAATCATTTAGTTTAATTACTTTGGTGTTTTAAAGGGTTAGTTCAGATTCAGCAAAGTCACATAATGATGCAAACAAACTAACTGATCGAAGCAGCAGTAGACCAGCAGCTGCCATGTTCAGCAAGGTAAAATTACTATTCTTGTCAATGGAGTTTGGCTTTGAAGAAAGCCCAGATAATTTTCATACATGATAAATTAGACTTGGAGACTTGGATTATACTGCATGAGGTGTGTGAGAGTTTGTAAACAGATGTTTTAATATAGTTTTGCTGTTGTGAAACATGACCCCGAATGACTTCAATTCATTAAGAATTTTCTCTGGTTTTGGATTCTTCGTTCAGCAGATGCATATGAGAAAAACAAAGTTCTCTTCATTATTCAAAGTAAGAGTAAGAGTCATTGATATACGAATGGTAATGTGGTGGGTGAAATCTTTATGGATAAATTCATGCAACAAAAATTCACTGATAAAAGTTAATGATTATCTTGACAAACCCCTTGGTTCTGACACTTGCTGACCTCTCTGGCATTATCAAAAACTTAAAGATGGATTTCATGGGTTTTGGGTGTGGGTTTCAGATTTTCACCTCCTTTTTATTCTCTGCTTTGCATCTCCTCCCAGACCCAGCCAGTTCCTAACCCCATGTCGTACTACATGCATCGCTCCCCATGGTGGTTCCATCGCTTTGAGACGTTGTCAAACCACCTCATCGAGCTCATCTTCCCGTTCTTTACCTTCTTGGGTAGGCGGATGTGCATGGTCAACGGCTCAATCCAGATCCTGTTCCAGGTAATTCACACTGTTCACCAACTCACAAGAGCTGATCATAACAAACACTGGGGCTGTTAATGGTGGCATCTTGTGAGGAGAACCTGTATTTCCACAGATCCGGGCTTTGAATTTAGAGTTTTACTCCTCTGTCTATCAGGGTGCCATCGTGTAATAGCATGTCTTAGATCTAAAATTGGTTCTGGACCAGTCATAGCATTACATGTTCCATTTTTTATTACATTAAACATGTTGACTAGCTGATTTAAGGGGATGTTTTATTACATTTATCTGTGTTTAATTGCATTATGTGCTGTTCGCTTAAATTAAATTTGTGCATCATGTGCAGTGGGTGCCAGAGCTCATGTTCCTGTATGCCAATTTTGCACGGTTCAAAATAAGTCAGTACTCAACCGTTCACATGTTGGTTGAACTCCTTGAAATGCCTACATTATGTAAAGTGATGCAATATAATCAGTTCAGCAGATGTTACCTGATACATGGCTGTCTTTGACTCTGCCTCGTCTCTTGTGCTATAGGTGGTTCTGATAGTAAGTGGGAACCTCAGCTTCCTTAACTGGCTGACCATTGTTCCCAGTCTGGCCTGTTTTGATGACGCATCGCTGGGCTTCTTGTTTCGGTCTCGAGGTGGAGCCAAGAAGGCAGTGCTGGAGATACAGAATGAGGATGCAGCTGGACGCATCCCCAAACCCACCAAAGGTATTCAGGGGACACATTCACAAAACATCCTAAGGTTTAAAGTAGAGAGACAACTCCTTAAAGTAAAAGACATGTTAGTCCAAACTTTCTGACTCCTGTGTTTAAGAGTCTAAGAGTAATTCACAAAGCAATTTCAAGGTTCAAGGTTAATTTATTGTTATTTTGCAACTCAGAGTTTCACAATGAAACGCAGTTGTAGTGCCTTTAGTGCTACAATATAAAAAAAAAATGGTGGAGTGTGGAGGATGATGTTCAGCTGAGGAGTCTTACAGCCTGAGGAAAGAAGCTGCTTTGTACTCTGGTGGTATGACAGCAGATTCTTCAGTATCGAAGGACGGCCGCTGTAGGAACAGGCTGTTTCTTGGTGGGTATTGTGTGTTAATATCCTTTGGACTCTGCGCAGATGCCTTACCTCACTGATATTGCTGATGGCACAAATGTTACCAGTTTGTAATGTTTCCAGTCAGGATGCTTTCTATTGCACCTCTGTAAAAATTTACAAGAACTTGGCTGGGGAATTTTGCTTTCTCAAGTTTCCATAAAAAATACAGCCACTACAGCTTTTTCACTAGGATGGAGATGTTTGATTATCATGTCAGGTTCTCTGTGATGCTGATTCCCAGTAACCTAAAACTGTTCACTTGCCCCCCCCCCCTTAGGTCCATTGATGTAGACAGAGAGGTGTCTTCACTTCCTTTTTCAAGCACTAAAAGTAGCTCAGAAGTCTGATTGCCCTTTCCTGCGAACATGGAACTGCTTCCATTATGGTTCCCGCACTTAATTTTGAACTTCTCAGAGCATTTCGACCTAGAATAGATTAGTCCAGAACCCAAAAAGTTGGTTCTCAGCTGGAACCAGAAAATAGCAGGTTTTTCCTGACCTGAAGTGCAAACAGTTCCAACATCAGAGGGTGTGTCATATTTGAGAGGTTGGAAAGAGAGGATGGAAAAGGCAACAACAGAGAGAGAGTTTCAAAGGCACCCTTTAGCGTCTCTATGAGACACAGTGGGCCTTCAGCTAACTTCAGTGTAAACCCACCGGCAACAAAACTTGACACTATGTGCAACTTACATAGTATAAAGAGTTAGAAAGTCTGCTTAGGGCAGGAGAGAAGGGAGGGTGTCAGTGTTGTTTTAATTAACTTTGTGCTGCTTATGTACCTACGCCTCATGTGAAACCAAAAGTCACTTTTGTTTTCACGTAATGTTATGTAATTTATATACAGTTGTTGCACACTGACATCACTCATGTCTCCTGTTTACGTAACCAATTGGTTTTGTTGCCTAAACATAACCATGAGTGTTTCACAACATAAATCCCAAGTTACAATGTGTTTCAGCAGTGCTTCTCATAGATACACTGGGGGGTGCCCTGTGCGTCGCTATCAGACTCCAAGGGGCATGACAAAGTGTCTGTATTTGATGACCTGGGAATGAGAATTGGTCGCCACTTTCTATCCATCCTTTTCAGATTCACAGACGCAGAAAGGTTGCTTATCATCCAATCACTGTAGTCATAGCATTCATGAAACATGACATCATCCATGGCAACAGATTCAACCCCGGCACTTCCTTTAGAAACGTTAGAGGACACTTTTAGCACTTTTCAGGAGGTAAGATAAGATGCTTTGTTAATGAGGCCTCAGATTCAGAAAAACCTATGAGTCATAATGAGCCATTTTCTGTTGGAATTCAAAATAATACATATTTTCACATCATATTTTTGACCTTTTGTTTTGAAAATTGTTGGTATCTCATTTTTGGAATGAATGGGTCTAGAGACTCTTGTATAGACATTGGTATATCTAACAGTTGAGGCTAATGGGCACAGGAGGAGGGGAATTATGGAAGAAACAGGGAATTGTGGGTAGAAAAGGGATTAGCACTTGGACAGCTGAGGAGCAGGGAAAAGTCTGACATATGGTTTATTGGAATTTAATGTGATGTGGCTCACATTTTTACAATACAGACTGCTTCAAATGTGGTCAGAGCGCCAGTGGCCCCTCTCTAATTGGTCTCGTTGGACCCATTAGTGTCTTTACTTTATTGTACGACGTTGAATATAAAATAGGCTTCTACCTGCAGTGTGGGCATGTTTTAATCATTTGAGCAGACTCACACAGTTTCTCAGTGTGAAAAGTTTTAGTTGGATTATGTTGATGTCTTTAACATGCATGGGATAAGCAGGCAGACAGGTAGGAAGGAAGTGATGTGGACTCAGCAAACATTTGTCAATACTGGCCGTCCCATGACCTAACGGGTCAAACCCCTTCCACTGTGGAAGTGCTGAAGTCATCACACACATATACACACATAGACTTAATTGCACTAATTCTGGACCAGGAAACATGTTGTCTTCCATTAATGATGAATCCCCCTCCAGGCCAGACACTAATGAATATGTCACCTTGATGTAAGCTGTAATTACAGTTTTCCTCCGGGCCACTTAGTCTCATTTTGAAATATGGACATGATGCATTATTTCTGTAAACATCAACAAAATTTAACAAGTAAACAAATGCTGTCGCAGCATCTTTAGGTCAAACAGGATTGCTCTGCAATTCCATACAATTTGGCTCAAAGCAGTGTAGAGTGTGTAACAGATAATGAAGTCTGATGTGTGACTGATAATGAGCTGTTCCACTCTTTCTATTACTGTATGTAACACAGGTATGTTGATACGTCGGGTGGTGAACATTTCTTTGGGCATTCTGATTGGCTACCTGAGCATTCCCGTGGTGATGAACCTGTTCAGTTCCAGGCAGGTGATGAACACGTCCTTCGACCCACTGCGTATCGTCAACACCTACGGGGCCTTTGGCAGGTACGGTACAGTCAGGGGTCAGTGTGGGGTCATGAGGTTCGTCAAGGTATCTGTGGGTCCTTAAAGCATCTAAAACCTGCCTAAATTTAAAGCATTAAGATGTTTTAAAATGCACTTCAAGGATAGGTTCATATTTATTTACATGCCCATACATAGAGTCATTGTGATCATTTATTTTGTCTATTAGATCACAAGATCCTCCTCAGACACCCATGTTGGCTTAAAGGCCTTTATGCACCAGGGGCATTTTTATTGCAATTAATTCATATGTCACTATATTTTTCTAAATGTTTTTGTAATAAGTACTTTCATGCAGATCGCAAATATTACACAGCAAAAAAGTGACTTTTTTCTGCAAGATGGTTGATTTTTCTGAGCTTTTGCGTGACAAATGAAGGCAAGAACCAATCCTGTTGTGCTTGTCCTTATAATGATTATACAACAGCAACACAGAAGCTCCCTAGTCTGAGCCAAGATGGGTTAGGCCTAACCTTAACACTAACCCTAACCCTAATTTAAAAAAAAAAAAAAAAAAAAAAATCAGGCCTGAGCATTTATGAACCAGTGCAGTTTCTGTCTCAAGCCCGAACTACGGCAGCAGTTTTGGCCTTAGCCCAAATTTCTACTGTAAAACAACAAATTTCATTAATAACAATATATATTTTTAATGTTAAAACATTTATTACAAGCTAAGGGCTGACATGCGTCCTTGCACCACTTCTCCTTCTTTCCCTCATTTCAAAAATCTGTTGTCTTGTGCACAACAGGTTCAGCAGAACAGGCTGCGCCTCTTGGTGCATCTAGTGCACACAGCAGTCCATGGCCACACAGTGTGCAGATGATGATCACAGCTCTTCACTGCATGTTATGAATATCGTTCCCATTGCTGGGGAAGCACGGCAAACACTGCCAACCTGGTCACTTTGCTGCCTTTTCTCACCTGCTCTGTCTCTCATATTTCTTTGTCGTTTCATCACTTTCCCTTTCTTAGTTGCGGTCCCTCCTTTTCTCTCAGTCCAATAGAGCTCCTGCGATTTACACACAAGAACTGCCAGGTGTATGAAAAACAAAAAACACAGGTAAATTGGCGAGAACGTGTCTCGAGCTCAAGCCCAGGGAAATAATGAGAAATTTCAACCGAGCCCGGCTCAAACCTGGCAAGTTGGGTTCAGACAGAGAGGGAGCTCAAATTCACTTAAAAGAAACTCACTAAAATATCCTACAGTAGTGTAGACTATACAGCGGTTTACCTCAGACAGACTACCAGACGCTGCTCTGGATCATTTAGCTCACAGCAGTTGGTGCAAATTTGCTTTGCTGCTGGCAGATCTGTTCACATCAAACCCTTTTAATTAAGCAAGTGTTGTAATTGTCATAGATTTCGCATCGCTACCGGTATGATGCAGACATATAGTTTGTATTTTCATGTAATTTGTTCATCCCGCCCCTGGTGTGTAAAGGCCTTAACAATTGATACTGAGAGAAATTGAAGTTCTTTTTTGACCTTGGAAACTTTTGAAATTTGTGATCTCATAATGATGAATTTTAAACAAACTGAATATCACAACAGAAGAGAAAAAGAAATGTTTTGAACATTAAATTTTCTCTTTTTCACAAATTTTTGTCCAGCCATTCTGCACTGCAGTAAAGGCAAAAGAAATTTTGTTTGTGGCGTCTTTCCAGAATAAAAGTTCCAACTGCTCAGGGTATTATCCACACACCTCACTGACACTACTAACCAAATATTTTCTGTTTGTTTTTGTGATTTGGGTGAACAGAACCTTTCAAGTTTGTCTTTTTCCAGAAATTGGAGATAATAGCAGAGGGTAATCTATAGTCCTGCATCTGTATACATTAACTCTGCAGCCTTCAGCCCTCTGTCAATTAGCCCATGAGGCATTTTACAAGTCATCATATCCACTATAATTTAATTGCCCCCCTCTGTCCAGCATTACAAAGGAGCGTACCGAGGTGATTTTCCAAGGCACTCTCAGCCAGGATCCCAAGGACCCTGAGGCAATTTGGGAGGAGTACCAGTTCCTGTGTAAGCCAGGGGACATTTACAGACGACCATGCCTCATATCACCGTACCACTACCGGCTGGACTGGCTCATGTGGTTTGCTGCCTTCCAGGTGAGATATTGAGGAGCTGCAGGAGATGATGTAGGGAGTGCAGAGGATACATATTAACTTGTCTCCATCATAAATGTATTTTAGTGTGTGGATATAGGATGTAGTTGATATTGGTACCAAAACTCATTTTGGGTCATTATTCAGTATCTTTAGAGGTAAGATTTTCACTCCAAAGACCAAGAGGGTCTTGTTGCCTTTGATGATGAATGAAGTTAACTAGGCAAAAACACACAAGAAACAATAGTAAATGGTGTAACAATTCACAGTTCCCCCCTTTTTAGCTGGTACATCAGCAGAAATCACTTCATTTATAGGCCGTGTGTGCCAAAAATTAATTGTGAGCCTCAGCTGCTAAGTACTGTATTTAGAGTAAATGTTCAGTTACTGTATATGGCCACTAGAGGGCAGTGATTTTCATGTATTTACCTCAATTAAATTAGATGACTTTTGGTATTATCTGAATGCCTCTTTACATCTGTATTTCTCCCTTTCTTATCATCTATCACTCTATATATCTTTCCCTTTGTCTCGTTTGGTGTTTGTTTTCTTATTGTCTGCATACTTGTCCCTTTTTTACCTCTCCTTTGCCGTAGTCTTAACTATTTTGCCTCAGAGCCTCATACACTCTCAGTCTCTCTCTGCCTTTCAGTGTACACATTCACATCTCTTTCACAACCTGTATTATTTTACTCTTCTTTCTTTTTTTTCTGTTCCTTTCTTAACCCTGTCTCCATGTCATCATACAGACCTATGAGCAGAGTGAGTGGGTGATCCACATAGCAGGACGCCTGCTGTCCAATGACAGCACCGTCCTCTCCCTGCTCGACCACAACCCCTTCCAAGGCCGAGAAACTCCCAGGTAAATACAGAGCACACAGTCACAGCAATGATCCCTCTGCAGGGTAAAAATACTGTACGATGAACTAGCATGAAGCTCTTTATGTCGACATGAACCTCACCAATGCACATTTTTGTCCTACTAATGATCAACCACTGATTACAGAAATATATCTGTTATTAAATATGTGTTGGCAGAGGTCAATCAAATGACAGTCCCACTATTCTCTGTGCTATAGCCCCCTCTGGTGAAGCAATAAGCACACACTGTCTTTCCTTTGCTAATATACAAAAATCATTATAATGTAGATGTTGTGTGGTATGTCACAGTGACTTTGTTAGGATGATACATACGTGAGAAAAGATGAAAAAATGTCAAAAAAAGATTCTTTGTTTCATGCAGTTTCACTCCTCTCTGTGTCCTCCTCTTTCTCAGGTGGGTTCGAGGGGAACATTTCAGATACAAGTTCAGCCAGCCGGGCAGCAGCAGCGCAGCTCAGGGGAAGTGGTGGCTGAGAAGACGCATCGGAGCCTACTTCCCTCCCCTGGACCTGGAAGGACTCAGGGGCTACTTCCAATCCAGGAACTGGCCCCACCCGCACATACCAACAAACAGGAGCTAAAGCCATGACCTCTGACTACTAGAGGAGAACGGAGGACTTCAGGGGTTGAGGTTGAAAAAAGGGAATGTTAAAGTCAGTTTCAGTGAAGCTGCTGGAGTTGGACCAAAAGTGCCGTCAGGTTTCTACAGATTGCAAAGTTTGATAAAGAACTGCTTGATAAAACCTGAAATCAAACATCCAAACAATGTGATGCTTTTTAAGGTTTCATTTAGGGACACGTCTGTGTGTCACAAGTGACTACTGACCCTTGTACATCAGACATTTGAACATTAAAACAGTTTTGAATTCATATTTTGTTTTTCCCTCCATTTTTCCCCCAGTGACTAATAATTTTTACAGACAGGATATTTATTATTGACTGAACATTTCTGGGCTTTTGCTTCGTCGCTAAGAATTTTACTAGCTCAGCTGTGGTTTAGAACGCATTCAGCTAAATTGTAATTTGCGGTGGTTTGAGAAACAGCTAGGTGCTAACTGGGATCTGCTCTCCGTGTCAAACAGAGCAGCTGTTATATGAAAAACTGGAGTGATTTATTTTTGTCTAAATGAGCGATACAGTTAGAAAGAAGGGAGCTTACCAAACCTCTGTATCCTGCTCCTCATCTCTGCTTGTGGCCAGCAGTGCAAGGTTACATTGCTCACAACGAGCATGACACGCCCAAATTGTCTTCAATCGAGTTGCATTGTGGGGAATGTAGGCACCAGTTTTTGACAAGGAAGAAGAGTGTGTGGAATAAGAAAGACAATCTTTTAATTTTTTTAAATTCTATTTTAAACTGTCCATCGTGATTCTGATAATGTTTCAGGAGTGCAATGCTAATTCAATGAGCTTTCCATTCATTGACTTTCTTCACCTGTCCACCTGATGTTTTGGGTCTGTCCAGCCTTTTCAAGTCATCCGATCTCTTCCTCATTCTCACTTTAAGCCCATAAACAATGATCCAGCCTCGACTATCCCTCCTTAACCCCAGCGTAGATACAGTACACTGGCCTCTCTTCCTGGGCATATCTGTTGCCATATCGTCCACTGTGCCAATGTAGCATCCTGCCTCTGTTCTCCTGTATTTGTTATATTATATCTGAGTTGTGTTCAGATCAACTTTGTTGGAATTAAGACTGATTTTTATACAAGTTCCATTGTGTCAGATTTCGCATTTAATAATTCGGAAGTGCCTGGAAAACAAATGTCAATGCCTCATATCAGCCATCTTTCAGTATAATTAAACCCTTATGTAATTGATATGGTTTTATATTGTTAATGCACAGTATTTTGATCCTTGCATGACCAACTCTGTAATCATACAACCACTTTGATGCCATGATCTCTCACAAGTTGACATCTTTTCATCTCTGCTTTCATCCTGTGTAATGTGAACGCTTCAGAAAATACTATTTGACAGACAAGTACATGAGAAAATGAAAATAAATCAAAATGTTTTCCTAAATATGAAGACATGTTGACACTGGATATGACAGTAGCTGAACACAAGTTTGTCATTATGGCTCTCTGGTTGGAGTGACAGTAACATAAAGCGGCCACTAGATGGTGCTTTTCTCCAGGTGATTCAGACTACATCTCTAGGCTTTGTGGTTCTCCTTCCCACATTCACCACTACAGGAGCCTTTTCCTCAAAGTGTGCCCCGAGGTGTGTGTCAGGTGCATGTTTGATGTGGTTTTTGAGTGACAGACATCCCCTGTGTCGGCCTTTTTACCCTCCTGTTGTGCCAGAAGAATTCAAAAACACAGCAACACAGCAAGTCTGATCAGAGCTGATGCATTTTCAGCTGGCCACTGATGCCATTCATCTTTATCAGTGACAATAACCCTTTTTTGGCCAAATGTTGTGTCTGCAAAAATGAATTCTTATATATATATTGATTATTTTTCATCCTAATTCATCAACGCCTCCTCTGACTGCTGCATGTCTTTGATTAATTGAGCCTGTTTTTGGACGCTGCCCATCTGATGAAGATATTTTTCAAAGAGCTGCCTGAAACACACACCTATTCAGTACGTGCGGCGCATCTCAAATATTAATTATTCTAGTCGTCGCCCAGTTCCTTTCATGTCTCTTGTGCCACCCATCATGCAGCACAAAGAGAGAGGGAGACATTTATTGACCTCCTCATGGTCCAGTTGAAACGGCAGATGCAAAAACATTCAGCAAAGTCATTATTGTTGGCTCCAGTAAAATAATCCACAACCAGCCGTGAGAGTGTCGGCCCAGCAAACCATCTGTCTCCACTGATAATACCAAAAAATGAACCTGGTGATTTGTTTGTGTTTGTGTGACACAGTGCATCTGTCTTTTTGAAGAATGAGCAGTCGCACTGTCTTGTTAAGACAAATAAAGGAGAGGTTTGTTGTTTATTTTCAACAGAAGGCTCACAGCTGAGTCAAAATTGCTTTGACACTGTTGCTGAAGCTCAGTGCTTCTCAGACTTTTTTTCAATAATGTACCTCCTTTGAAATATTCTTTCAGCCAAGTACCCCCTGACCAGCACAAAATAGGGTTGGTAAAACCACAGAGTGAACAAACATAAACCTGAAATGCTTGCATTTGTTGTGGCAGTATTTTTTCCCTGTTATTTGTCTTTTTTTATTCTTATTTTTTATTACATAAGGTCCAAGGTCCAGGGATATACATATATATATATATATATATATATATACACACACACACACACACACACACATAAAGGGACAATGTATCAATACCACCACATATAAAAAATGAAAATAAAATAAGATAAATAAATAAAACTTCTTGGAAGAATTAAGGAAACAAAAACCTAAATCCAATAGAAATAGTTAAAAAGAAGAAAAGTAGATAGAAAGAAAAGAAAATCTTCCTTTTGACTCTGGGCAGTTTACAGTTTCCAGCAGTCAACAATTGCACTGACAATGAGTATGTATGAATATCTGATATAAAATGTGGTTTATTGCACTTACATTTATATTTATGTATTGTTTTGAACCTATTATGGTATAATTATTTTAGGAATGAGGCATGACATATATTTTTAAAATTAACATTAAAAAACTCATGTACCCCTGCAGTATTCCAAAGTACCCCTCTAGGTACCCATACCCCCATTTGAGAGTCACGACTCTAGCAAACAGGAGCTAAGTGTCCGGGCAATAGTCCATCTTGCTTGCATCCTACCAACACATTTAACATACACAAATGTTTGACTGAGAAGTCTCCAAGAATAATCTGTATTACCATCATAGCAAAATGTAACTTAATTCTTTTCAAAACATCATTAGTTACATAAATAATGTCATCTGACAAAATGCCAAACAGATTATTATTATTTTAGGAAAGTTGCAGTTATTTTGCATATTGTGTAAAACAAACAATATTAACTTTTTTTTATTACTAATTGCAGCTTTTATCCCAAGTACAATCCACATTAGTACTTAAAAAGCCTATCCACCGTCCTTTGATTCTCAGGGTTCCTAAAGTCATGGAAAACCTGGAAAAGTCATGGAATTGCATAATCACATTTTCCAGGCCTGAAAAAATCCTGGAATTGGTAAAAGTTATTGAAAGTTTTGGAAAAGTCATGGAATTTTGTTGCGTGAAGTGACGTTGTTAAAGTAGTCTGCCGTTGATAACTGTCTTTGTAATGGAATTTACTGGTAGATTTATATTCTGAAGCTGCCAATGTATTATAAAACACACTCATGTGTGTCAATATTTGACGCTTGCTTGCTTTGAAGCTAGCTGAAATTGCAATTATGGGCGAGTAGGGCAAAATAAAATTGAATTGAATTGAACTGTATTGTATTGTATTGTAATGAATTGAATTGAATTTAATTCATGGGGGGGGGGGGGGTCTCCATGAAAATGTGTGGGGGAACCCTGGTTTCTGTTATCACTTTGTTTTCAGTATGTTGTATTTGTGTTGATAGTGTTATATTTATATGCTGAAGGCGGGGTCATTTTCTTTGTCTTTAAAGTAAAAGTAAATGAGACCTTGGTTTCAGCATTACCCCCTGTCAAAACAAAGGTTGAATAAATGTAATTCATAAAATGAATGGTGTTTACACGGGACTGTGAACACCACACGCCACAGGCAGTTACAGCACACCATTTGGCTCATGCCATGCTTTGGGCGTACTGGCATGTGACAGGGGAGCAAACATTTGCCATCTTCCTGTCTGTGTTTCAGGAGCAAAAGCAACACCATTTTCAAGTACATTTCTCATCTAGTGTTGGATGTCCACAGCAGCAGGCTGAGTTTTCCTTGTATTGGTCGATTGAATTTGATAGTCACAAGACATTGTATTATCAAATCTGTGTGTGCTGCATCTGTGTCTGAACTCAGTAAATAGTTCCATCTATTTAAACTGCACAGGCAGAATTGGGTACTTTTGACTGGGGCCCCCCAGGACCCCAACACATTGGTACTTTTAAAAAGCACAAATTAAGAAAGAAAGAGAAAACAATGATATGAAGTCATTGAGAACCAATTGATTGACAGTCTTGTAAAAGTCTTGAAAACTGGAATGAAAGATTAAAGCATCTGTGAGATATGACTAGAGAAGCAAACTTAAATAAAACTTCTTTTTTTTTTAAAGAATGATTAAATAACATTTGCTAAGAACAAGGATGAGTTTTAACTATTGATTTAGTTATTTCACAATTTATTGGTTGTAATTAACACAGTTTGTTGATATCGAACACCATAAATATGTGCTTTGGGTGATATGAAGTGACAAATTATTCAAAGGGAACTCGATTATAACATCAGTGGTGGAGGGGTGTGTGCGCTCCTCCTGTTGTTCACAGCTCATTGGTTTTGACGATGCACCACTCGCACAGCATGGGCGTTTTTAATAGCCTCCTCATCAAACGTATCTGCATCCTGTTTGTCGCGTTCCCCGCCTTCGCTCTGCAAATAAATTTCCCCGCAGAATCGCTTTTGCAGCTTTTCTTGCAGTTTTATGTGACTTTGATGGTTAACTTACAGATTGGCCGTCCATTTTTTTTTTGTGTGTGTGTGCTCTGATTGTGTAACAGAAACAGGGACATGTCTCTGTCTCATTTCTACAGCTCCAGTTTGGCTCATGCCAATTTCCCTGTTGTCCTCTGATATAATATTAAAGTGGGGGCGGCAGTGATGCTCAAAGACTGGTTTGGACCAAAAAAAGGGTGTTTGTTGTCGGTTCGATTCCCTGCTGGGAAAGTCTGGATGGTAGAAGTGAGTCACATCACAGCCGTCCTGACCTATGGCTACTGGTTGTACTGGGCAGCTCTCAGGTGTGTCAAACTAAAGTAGACTGTTGCAAAAGAAGAGTCTCAAGTGAGTCACCGGTGCAGTGGATCATCCTCTGTTCGTGGTTACGTAAAACACTTTTTGGGGTATGTATCGTCACAGTGGATGTAGGGAAATGACTGCTTGCTGATAGGTATAGAGCTCTGCTGAACATAAGGAGTGAGTCATGGTGTTTGGTAGCTACATATAGCAGAGACTTTCTCCTGTACACACATTTTTGCTCTTAATTTATGACCATGACACACATACTGCTGCTATGTCAACCCAGAATGGTTTGATAACCTTGCACGTAATCACATAGCTGAAACAAGCTGCAACCCCTTCAAGTTTATGTGTAGTTGCCTTACGCAGTTCCTCTAATGGCCACTAGATGCTGGCTCCATTAGAAGTATTGATATTGATGAGAAAAATCTCAGCTATACTTTTAAAATGTTAAGTCAATAAATGCCTCCAACAGGAAGTTAGCATCTAATCTTTAAAAAAAAAAAATCTTTTAAACCTGCAATAACTAACTTTTTTGGCCACTTGGGGGCAGCAGAAACCAGCTTTAAACACTACACTGACATATTAGTACCTTGGAAGTTAATATAGTGAATCTGTTAGCAAGCAGTTTTCTGTTACACATCCGGCAGACACAGAAGAACATTAAGATTCATTTGCAGTCATGTTTCTGGCCACCTGTTGAGTTTAAGGCCAATATTCGATCTTCCCTCAGCTCTGTTTAAAATATCTAGCCTTTTAGCTGCTAAATGCTCCACTTTGTTCACAAACTTGTTGCTTACTCTGTCTGTTGGCTGTTTGGTGCTGGGCAATGAGTCTGCAGTGGGGTTTATATCTTTTTTGCTGCCTCCTGCAGCCAATAACAATGCTGATAACAGTGGTGAGGGTAAACCAAAGCACTAAAGTTGCAACTTGGAAACCAAAACAATGAGTTAAAAGACGTGCTATGTATTGGCATACCATTGACCAGTGTTTTATGGTTTCATGCTAGTTTTTGTGTACTTATGCCACTGATAGACCAGATACAAATAAGTTTAGCATTTTGGTCATTGCCATCTTTGATTTCTTTGGAGATGAAGTGACCATATTTGGATGAGAGGGTGGAGCTGTGGAGAAGCGAGTGGTGAATCAGCCTCATAGATGGTCATGACACCCCGCAAGCAAT